TCTGATTACTCCGGTACATGTAATCTGTTACTCCCCAACACTGATTACAACTAAATAATTACTTCAAAATATTGTGTTTAGTCAAATATTTCAAGAGTCCAAATGATTCTGTTTGTAAATTGAAGTGGTTTAAATCTAAGATGGCGGCCAAAACATTGAACGAGTCGAACTAAAGAGTGAAACAAGAACAAGATTAACAGCTCATTATCCTTTTATGACGCACTTTAGTTGCATTTCACTTTAATAAACAAATATATGACACGTTCCTTTAAATTTAAACTGTTGTTATTCCGCGTCTCAAATCGGAAAGTGAAAGTATTTTTATTTTAACTGCGCAAATACGAGTGCACGAAACCCGACGCCGTCCCGGACTTTAGCGCCAAAACCCCGTAGAACATGATGAAAGTGACACTAAACTGAACACGGACGCACTAAACACGATGACAACTCCATTTGTGTTTTCTAAAATACACATTGTGGATTCTTGTTGGACAAGTTGAAGCACGAAAACAGTTTTACTCACTGGCTGCGGCTCCGTGTAGCAGTGTCCCCACGAGCACGAGCACAAAACACCACTTCATGTCCATTTCATGTCCCTGTCTGTGTCCCTGTCTGTGTTTTTGTCTCTCTTTTTGACTCTGTTTTGTCCGTGTCTCTGGACTGAGTGTGTCTCGTTCACTCTCGGCTTTATAAACTCCTACTGTGACGTCACGTTTTTGGACCAATCAGAAAATAGATCCGACAGGTATCAGGTGTTGCTGGGCAGAAGAGGCTGGAGAAGGTTGTGGAGCGACAACAGCGGAGAAAGTGAAAGTAAAAAAAGACGAAAAAAAAAGCAGCCAGTTTAAATAGAAGACCAGGACTAGACCAGGGACTAGACCAGGACTAGGGACTAGGGCCCGGGACTGGACTAGGGACTGACCAGGACCCTAGGACTAAACCAGGACTAGACCAGGACTGGGAACTAGACTAGACTGAACCGGACTAGACCAGGACTGAACCAGGACTAAACCAGGACTAACCAGGGACTAAACCAGGACTAGACCAGGACTAGACCAGGACTAGACCAGGACTAGACCTGTAGAAGTGAAAACAGTTGGTCTCTGTGCTTCAGGTTTGGCTCCTGCTTCAGTTTCAGCTGCAGACGCTGGTTTCTGCAGATTCAACAAGTTTGGTCCAAAGACTGAAAAGAACAGAACCTGGTCTAGACCTGGTTCAGTCCTGGTCAGTCCTGGTCTAGTCCTGGTCTAGTCCTGGTTCAGTCCAGTTCAGTCCTGGTCCAGTTCTGGTCTAGTCCTGGTCTAGTCCTGGTTCAAGTCCTGGTCTAGTCCTGGTAGTCCTGGTTCAGTCCCTGTCAGTCCTGGTCTAGTCTGGTCTAGTCCTGGTTCAGTCCCAGTTCAGTCCTGGTCCAGTTCTGGTCTAGTCCTGATCTAGTCCTGGTTTAGTCCTGATCTAGTCCTGGTTTAGTCCTGGTTTAGTCCCGGTCTAGTCCTGGTTCAGTCCTGGTTTAGTCCTGATCCAGTTCTCATGTAGTCCTGGTCCAGTCCCGGTCCAGTCCTGGTCTAGTCCTGGTCTAGTCCTGGTCTAGTGTTGGTCTAGTCCTGGTCTAGTCCTGGTTCAGTCCTGGTCCAGTTCTGGTCTAGTCCTGGTCTAGTCCTGGTTCAATCCTGGTCTAGTCCTAGTCTTGGTCTTGGTCAGTCCTGGTCTAGTCTTGGTCTAGTCCTGTCTAGTCCTGGTGTCCTGGTCTAGCCCTGGTCTAGTCCTGGTCTAGTCCTGGTCCAGTCCCAGTCTAGTCCTGGTTCAGTCCTGGTCTAGTCCTGGTCTAGTCCTAGTCTTGGTCTTGGTCTAGTCCTGGCTTAGTCCCAGTCTAGTTCTGGTTTGGTCCTAGTTCAGTCCTGGTCTAGTCCTGGACTAGTCCTGGCCTTGTCCCAGTCTAGTTCTGGTTTGGTCCTAGTTCAGTCCTGGTCTAGTCCTGGACTAGTCCTCTCAAGCCCCAGTCTAGTCCTGGTTTAATCTTGGTCTAGTCCTAGTTCAGTCCTGCTCTAGTCCTGGCCTAATCCCGATCTAGTCTTGATCTCCTCCTGGTCTAGTCCTGTTTTAGTCCTGGTCTAGTCCTGGTCTAGTTCTAGTTCAGTCCCGGTCTAGTCCTGGTATAGTCCTAGTCTTGGTCTAGTCCTGGCCTAGTCCCAGTCTAGTCTTGATCTAGTCCTGATCTAGTCCTGGTTCTGTCCTAGTCTATCCTGGTTTTGGCCTGGTCTGGTGCTGGTCTAGTCCTGGTCTGGTGTTGATTTAGTCTTGGTTTCGTCCTGGTTTAGTCCTGGTCTAGTTCTGGTTTGGTCCTAGTTCACTCCTGGTTTAGACCTGGTCTAGCCCTGATGTAGTCCTAGTCTTGGTCTTGGTCTAGTCCTGGTCTAGTCCTGGTCTAGTCCTCGTTCAGTCTTGATCTAGTCCTGGTCTAGTCCTGGTCGAGTTCTGATCTAGTTCTGGTTTGGTCCTAGTTCATTCTTGGTCTACTCCTGGTCTAGTCCTGGTTTAGTCCTAGTCTTGGTCTAGTCCTGGTCTAGTCCCAGTCTAGTCCCAGTCTAATTCCGGTCTAGGCCTGGTCTAATCCTGGTCTAATCCTGATCTAGTTCTAATTCAGTCTTGGTCTAGTCCTGGTATAGTCAAAGTCTTGGTCTTGGTCTAGTCCTGGTTCAGTCCTGGCCTAGTCCCGGATTAGTCCTGGTCTCTGACTTTATTCACACATGAGCTCTTATTTTTGAAAGTTTTTTTGTGTGTGTGTCTGTTTTTTACTTTCACTTTCTCCAGCCTCTTCTGCCCAGCAACACGTGACACTGCCTCTCGAGTCTATTTTCTGATTGGTTCAAAAACATGACGTCTCAGTTCTGCAAATAAAGCCGAGAGTGAACGAGAGACACGAGTCCAGAGACAGAGACACGGACAGGGACACAGGACAGGGACACAGACAGGTACAGGGACACAGACAGGGACACAGACAGAGACACGGACATGGACATGAAGTGGTGTTTTGTGCTCGTGCTCGTGGGGACACTGCTACACGGAGCCGCAGCCAGTGAGTAAAACTGTTTTCGTGCTTCAACTTGTCCAACAAGAATCCACAATGTGTATTTTAGAAAACACAAATGGAGTTCTCATCGTGTTTAGTGCGTCCGTGTTCAGTTTAGTGTCACACTTTCATCATGTTCTACGGGTTTTTTTGCGCGCTAAAGTCCGGGATGGCGTCGGGTTTCGTGCACTCGTATTTGTTAAAATAAAAATACTTTCACTTTCCGATTTTAGACGCGGAATAACAACAGTTTAAATTTAAAGGAACGTGTCATAAATTTGTTTATTAAAGTTAAATGGAACTAAAAGGCGTCATAAAAGGATAATGAGCAGCAATCACTTCCTGCACGAATATCAGATATAACCACAAACTATTTTATTTTATTTTATTTATTTATTTTTAATTATTATTACAGAAACATAACAACAAGACAAAACAACAAAAGGTATAAAGTGCAGATGGGATTGTTGTTGTTGGCAGGAGTGAAGGGTGGAGAGAAATATATGTACACACATACACATAACCACATACACATACATACATACATACACACATAACCACATACACACATACACATAACCACATACACACATACACATAACCACATACATACACATACATACATACACATAACCACATACACACATACACATAACCACATACACACATACACATAACCACATACACACATACACATACACACATACACATAACCACATACACATACATACATACACATACACATACACATAACCACATACACATAACCACATACACATACATACATACACACATACACATAACCACATACACATAACCACATACACACATACACATAACCACATACACATAACCACATACACATACATACATACACACATACACATAACCACATACACACACACATATACACATACACATACACATACACATACATACACATAACCACATACACATACATACAACCACATACACACACATACACACATACACACATACCACATACACACATATATAACCACATACACACACACACACACACACACATATGTACACATAATCACATACACACATACACAAGAGAGAAGAAAGAAATAAAATTCTAATTCTTCTATAATTTTAAGTGTTTTAATAGATTTAATGATAGAAATAGTTTACAGTATTTGAAGATAATTTTTGATGTCTAATATAATTAACAACGGCAACAAGTCATTTTAGATTCATTTAGATGAACAACTCAGCAGGTCACATCACAATCTGAATTCGTTGTCAATATTAGTACAAAAAAAAAAAAAAAAAAAAACGTGAATAAAGTGCATTGATCCAAATACATACAGCCCCTTTAACAGCGATCACATAAATGAACGGGACGAGCTCCATCCCCAAAGAACTTGAACTCTTCATTCAGACTCTAATTATGCTGGCAAAATATCACATACACAAAACCAAACGGTCTCAAAATAAACTAAATATTCATCAATATAATAATGAACTCCAACAATACTTTCAGACAATAAAACAGGTCCAAAACAAAAAAAGCAATTAAAACTTACAATATCTATAAAAAAAATATAGTATAGCTTTATTCAATTTATGACATTCTGTTTTGTTTTGTTATTCTGTTGTTTAGTTTTGGTTTCATTCCTTCTGCTCCCCTGTATGTTCATTTGCAAACCACCCCCGTGTTGCAGTGTGTTTACATGTGTTTATGTGTGTGTTTGTGTGTGTTTATGTGTGTTTATGTGTGTTTATGTGTGTTTATGTGTGTTTATGTGTGTTTATGTGTGTTTATGTGTTTTTGTATGTGTGTTTATGTGTGTTTTATGTGTGTTTATGTGTGTTTATGTGTGTGTTTATGTGTGTTTATGTGTGTGTATGTGTGTTTATGTGTGTTTATGTGTGTGTTTATGTGTTGTTATGTGTGTTATGTGTATGTGATGTGTTATGTGTGTGTTATGTGTGTGTTTATGTGTGTTTATGTGTGTATGTGTGTGTTTTATGTATGTGTGTTTATGTATGTTATGTGTGATGTGTGTGTTTATGTGTGTGTTTATGTGTGTGTTTATGTATGTTTTATGTATGTTTATGTATGTTTTATGTGATGTTTATGTGTTTATGTGTTTATGTATGTTTTATGTATGTTTATGTATGTTTATGTGTGTTATGTGTGTGTTTGTGTGTGTTTATATGTGTTTATATGTATGAATGTATATGTATATTTTCCATATCTCACTGCTGCCATAACTGTGAACTGGACTTTGCATTGATGCAACAACAATCCAATCTGCACCTTATACTGTATATACATTGTTTTTTTTTTTTTGTCTAGTTGTTATATGTCTGCAATTTAAAAAAAAAAAAAAAAAAAAAAAAAAAGCGCGCCGCACGAGCTCACAGCGCCGTATGAACCGCAGCGCTAGCATTAGCATTAGCATTGTAGCTCCGAACGAAAACAAACAAAGTCACACTCAGCAGTTTCACTTCGTTAAATCACACAGACACACGACAGCACATCGTCGTGAAGGCAGGAGGCATGTAAAAAGGTTGACGGCATAACAGTTACTTTAGAGAACATTTAGAGAAAAAACTATCACTTTTTAAAGCAATAATCGCGACCTGCAGCAGCTCAGTCACACCCGGAAGTGACGCAACACGCACCTGAACAACAGCGCCGGCTTGTTTAAAAGAGCTTTTTATTTATTTCCATCCATCCATCCATTTTCGTCCGCTTATCCGGGGCCGGGTCGCGGGGGCAGCAGCCTAAGCAGGGACTCCCAGACTTCCTTCACCCCAGACACGTCCTCCAGCTCCTTTTTATTTATTTATTTATTTATTTATTTTATTTTTTTTGAGACATATAACAACAAGACAAAACAACCAATGTATATACAGTATAAGGTGCAGATTAGATTGTTGTTGCATCAATGTAAAGTCCAGTTCACAGTTATGGCAGGGGCGAGGTACGGAAAATATACATATACATTCATACACATAAACACACATAAACACACACATAAACACACATAAACACACACATAAACACACACATAAACACACACAAACATACTGAGACATGGGGGTGGTTTGCAAATGAACATACAGGGGAGCAGAAGGAATGAAACCAAAACTAAACAACAGAATAACAAAACAAAACAGAATGTCATAAATTAAATAAAGCTATACTATATTTTTTATAGATATTGTAAGTTTTAATTGCTTTTTTGTTTTGGACCTGTTTTATTGTCTGAAAGTATTGTTGGATTTCATTATAAAAGAGCTGGACGCACTAATTTTCGCGATAATTGGGACCAGCCGTGGTTGAAAATATAAGGTAGAGATGGAACTGGGACAGAAAAATACCTGGGTTATGAAAGTATTTGCAGAGATTTTTAGAAATTTAAAGAATCAAATGTAGTGATTTTGATAAAGACTTTAGTTTATTTTAAGTGTTTCAGTTGATTTCTTACATTTTCTTGCTGTTTTTTGTGTATTTGTTTTGCTCAAAGTTGATGTTCACTCAAATTAAATGTCTAAAAACTCTCGAACCATAAAGAAAAGTACTTTTTACTTTTCAGTCCAAATCTAAAATGCACGTGCACACACATCAACCTTTTATAGTTTTCTCTGTGTTCCTTATTTTGTTTTCCTCCCATTATGCAGCAGACCAGTGTCTCATGTGCTCCCCATCCCACAGCAGACACCCTGACCCTGCCCTCAACTCTTTAGTATTTGAATCTCCAAACTTTACACAGTTCATTCAAATTAAAGTTCTTCATGAGATTCACTAAAAACACAAAAGTCTTAACTTTTATTTACACTGAATTCTGACATGATTCTTTTGTTTTCACAGAGGTTCACACTTTGAGATTTTTCCAAACTTCTTCAACTCAAGTCCCAAACTTCCCAGAGCACATTTCTGTTGGATATGTGGACGACCTTCTGATCACTCACTACGACAGTGTCACAAAGAGAGAAGTCCCCAAACAGGAGTGGATGAATAAAATCACAGAGGAGGATCCTCAGTACTGGGAGAGAAACACCCAGGTCAATTTGGGGAATGAACTGGTTGAAAAAGAAAACATAAAAAGTGCCAAACGACGCCTGAACGTGACCGGAGGTTTGTGTCGTCTGAACTTTTCAGATTTGATCATTGAACATGTTTTTATGAATGAAACACATTTAGTGTGAAATATTTGTGGACAGTTTGTTTTTCTTGTCATGAAAGTAGGAGAAATGTAGTTTTGGTGTAAATCTTTGTGTGTGTTTGCAGCAGTGGAGTTTTGTTGCTCAGGGATCAGGTCTGTGTTACGTTCACTTGTTTTCCAGATTCTGTTCAGTCACTTTTTGTACTGAGCCCAAAATCACAACATCAGTTTCCTCCCAGAGCTTCACACAGCTGTAGATTTAACACAAACAACAAAGAAACAGACGAGAAAAGACAAAGCACATGACCAACTGAAGCTGTCAAATGTGAAGAACTGAACCATCACAGATGGAAATATTTCACTCCAAAATACAACTTGTCATTTATAAAAATGAAATAGAAACATAAATGTCCCTGAAGAAGTTTGAATATTTAAAAATGTCTTGTTTCTGTTTCAGGTCTCCATATAAATCAGTACATGTACGGATGTGACTGGGACGATGAGACTAACGAGATCACAGGATATTATCAATTTGGTTTTGATGGAGAAGATTTTATTTCATTGGATTTTGAGACTGAAACTTTTGTGGCTCCAAAACAACAGGCCTTTTCTATCAAACAAGCATGGGAGATGATTGGAGAAGGTGTCAGAGTGAAAACCCTCCTCATTCACAGATGTGCCAAGTATCTGAAGAAATTTGTGCTCCTGGGAGAGAGCGCTCTGAAGAGGACAGGTAACAGACGAGTTTTAGGGCATTTTCACATGACTAGTTTGATTACTTGGTCTGCACCGGGCAATACAATTGTTATTATGTAGCCGATAGACTCCAGTGTGGAGCTTTCACACCGTCAAATGAACCAAAACTGGTTCGATTGATGTGCCTCTGTTTCCTGGTAGAACAGCAATATTTTACAGCGATGTTCAATTACCAACAGCAATGTTTCCTGTTAAGACCACGAGCCGTCCTCATCTCAAGTGTCATCATGAAGTCATAAAACAGCAACATGTAGAACTTTGTACAAACTCACCACATCAGCCCAGAGCAGAAGCTCTGAGCTCAGGAAACAGCAGCAGCAACAGCGATAAAGAGGAACACTCACTGTAGCTCAGACCCTCAGGACGGGGCTGGGGTCTGGTCCTTGGTCCTTGGTCTGGTCCTTGGTCCTTGGTCTGGTCCTTGGTCCTTGGTCTGGTCCTTGGTCCTTGGTCCTCTGAGCACGTTGGTCAGATGGTCTGGAGGCTCCATCCTCCATGTGCTGGTTCCAGATGTGGGCGAGTAAGACCAGTGCTTGATGGACTGGGTCCAAGTTGTTCCGTGTCATTGTCTGTGCGCTGGTTCCATGTGGGGAAAACAAGAATGTTCTGTGGACTACAGGTCCGGACGGGCTGCTCCGGTCCTCCGCGCTCAAGAACCGCAACTGGTTCTGAGGTGGTGCAGCATCCGGACAGAAGTGCGAGTCCAGTTTGGTTGGTTTTATGTTGTTCTGAGCTTCCGTCCTTCGCGCTCTTGGTGCTTCCCGGGGAAAGTTCTTCTCAGGCCGAGGCTCCTGACATCACTCCCCGCTCCACGTCATCTGAGCCCGGACAGAACCAGAGCTGCTCCCGCAGGTTCAGGACTCTGGTCTGGATCTAGTCCGACTGTATTTCTGACACTAGGCTAAAAGCAGGAACTTTTGAATAAGTTCAATAGGCTATTGCCTATTGCCATAAAATGATTTGGTTAATTAAAACCTAAAATAACAAATGCTGTTGCTGCGTGAACACGGGGAACACCGGGTCGTCTCCGTGTGCAGGTCCTGAACAGAGGTACACACCCCACATTTTGACTCATTCTGGAGCCACATGTTCACACGTTGGTTCTTGCTCTGATCATCATGTGTCACATTCTCTGTTTTGGCCATTATTGGCAAAATAATTAGAAAATGAATTACTGCTGCGTCTGGAGAACAATCTGTTATTGTACTGGAGTCGTACAGCGCGACATTTCAGGCAGAGGCGACGCTTGTCCTCTCATGATGCATTTGGAATAGTTCGTTTGGACCTGCTGTCTGGTTTGAACCGAGTTTGCGTTCACACCAGAGGAACCGCACCACAGTTCGGCTTTTGGTGCGGATTCAAGTGAACTGAGAAAACCTCTTTTTGAGATGCGCTTGAAGCTTTCACACCAACACAAGCGAACCAAACTAAGAGCTTTTGGTTCAAATGGACCGTTTGGTACAACAGCTACTGTCAGTGTGAAAGCACCCTAAAACTCTAGGACAGATCATGATTCAAACTATTTATAATGTGTAGGCTTTAATTCACTTAACAACAATAAGAACTAAACAGGGATTCAGGAGGATGGGAGGGCATCTGACAGTTGACAGCTCTGCTCCTCTCTTCACTTGAGTGTCCGAGACACGCGGCGGAGGTCATATGACACGACAACAAAGTTGATCATCGACCTCCAGCCGAGGGCGTCTTGGTGCCACGTGCAATGATGGACACACTTATGCTCAAACATGGTGTTTGTTATGGACAAACTGTGACCTGCACAGAAGTCCAATAACAGAACACAGCTCGGGTTCAGATCAGGGAGGACGTTCCTCCCAATCACCCCTCTCCAAGTGTCACTGTCGTTGCCCACGTGGGCGTTGAAGTCCCCCAGTAGAACATTGGAGTCCGTGGTCGATGCACTGTCTAGTCCCTCCCAGGGACTGGCAGAAGGCCGGGTACTCGAGTACTCTGCACTGCTGTTTGGCACGTAGGCAACACCACAGCGAGAGCCCTGTCCCTGACCTGAAGGCGCAGGGACGTGACCCTCTCGTTCACTGGGGTGAACTCCAACACACGGCGGCTGAGCTGGATAATCTGGCCTTGTGAGCTCCCACCTCAGGCCTGGATCCAGGGTGGGGCCCCGGTAACGTCATTCCAGGTGACAGAACTGGCCTCACTGCAAAACTCATTGTAAAGGGCATCTGAAGTTTTCTGCATGTGTTTTATATTGTGTGTGTGTAGTTGTGTAAGTGTTGTGGTGTGTGTAGAGCTCCCCCTGGTGTCCCTGCTGCAGAAGTCCTCCTCAGGTCCAGTCACGTGCCACGCCACACGCTTCTACCCCGACAGAGCCATGCTGTTCTGGACCAAAGACGGAGTGGAGGTGACGGAGGACGTGGACCCTGGAGAGATCCTGCCCAACGGAGACGGGACCTTCCAGACCAGTGTGTCCCTGGACCTGTCCTCTGTCCCCCCTGAGGACTGGGACAGGTTCAACTGTGTGTTCCAACTGTCCGGGCTCCAAGACGACTATGTGACCAGACTGGACCGGGCCATCATCATGACCAACGGTGAGAACAGCTTCATCAAATCAAACCTTCTGAAGGAATAAATATAGTTAAAAGATTCCTATTCTGCAAAATTGACTTTTCATGTTATAACTGTCCCCGTTCTGACTCTCTGAAGTCGTATTTGGAGCGATTCGTTCATGTTTGAGTCTTTAGAGCCTCTTTATGATCTATTTACACACCGACCCCGACAGCTCCGTAACACCGACTTTGTTTATGATGATGTCTTCAGCTCTCATTGGGCGTCTTTGTAAAGCGCTAGTCTGCGAACTATTCCTTTAATTACATTTTTTAGATGAATATCGCGATTTCAAATAACATATAATCACAAATAATAAAATAATAACAATGATCCATGAGTCGTCACAAACCTTGAACCTTGTAAAACTGCAGCCGTATGTACAGATAATTATAAAATGAGAAGAGGCTGCGTTCGAGGCTCCACCTGTCGACCATTTATTTATTTATTTATTTTGCATGTATAGCATAATAAAATAAAAAATAAAAAAAAACACTAAATAAAAAGTAGGAGCCAGAAGATGCAAAAAACCCAATTAAAGCCTCCACCTCATGAAAACATTAAAAATTGAACATTATCGCTGTGTATTAAAAAAAAAAATAATAATAAAAATTACATTTAAACACCAGGGATTAAATTCATTTGATTCAAACATGGATTAAAACACAATGAAACATCCACAACTGAACGATTATCAAACATCACCATGAAATATCAAACATTTCCTCAAACTCCTTTAAAACGACGCCTCTGATCTGCTTCACTGACCTGACGAGAAAAACAGCTCCAGAATTTCCCGCCTCTGTATCGAAGCAAAACTGAGCTCAGGATGTTTTAACATTTTGAAACATAAAAATTATGATTTTGACGAGTTTTGCATCTTTGAATCTCTGCATTGGTTTTGAAGTAAAATGTGAAATTGCAGAAACTCGTCCGTGTAGATTTTAGAAAACCAGATAAACCAGACAATGACATAAATATAAAATTAAGAAACTCACCTGTTGTACCTGAGTGCGCCGTTAGCATGACTCACCTGTTGTTGTGCTGCCCCCTGTCTGTCACAGAGGAGACGCCCACAGATCTCGTCTCTGTGTTGGTTCCTCTCGCTGTCGTCCTCGTCCTGATCTTTGCTGTCGCCTTCGTCTTGATCAGGAGATTTAGAGGTAAAACAACATCGAGTCATGTTCTTCTCATTTTGGACAAACTTCAAGGAATAAACATTTTTTTATTTTTTGTTTCAGGTCAGAATGGTCCCAGAGCAGCCCAGGAAATTCTATAACACATGCATCACAAATTTTGAACTTCTGGTCATTAGGCAATTCATACTGGGAAGAATCCTCCGAAAAAGTGAACATCAAACCTCCATGTTTGTTTTCCCAGTGGGATGAGTCTATTGACAAAGTCGATCTTTTCAAGTCTTTTGAACCATATCACTTTTGTTTCTGGTTCTGATATTGTCATATTTTAGTTTTTTGGATTTGGACATCGTAGTTGTGTGGTTGTTGGATCCTAACAGCGGAAAACGACTCGAGAAACTAGTTTGTGAACTTCATAAATGTAAAAGTGAATCAGATGTGTGTGACTCAAACCTCTGTTCAAACTGTTTCTCTTCCCGACGGAATTGAAAAATAGTGAACGGTGAAGGTGATGGGCAGGATTGATCCACAGGAAGAACCAAAAAGGAAACATTTGTCTGACTAAGAAATCATCCCGAGTTTACAGAGAACATTTTGTGTGTGGAGCGGCAACAAACGGACGCCCGGGCTAAAGATCAGGATCAACTGTGGTCCGAGCTTTCACCAAGACCAGAATCATCACTGAACTGCCAGGGAACAGTAACCACACTGACTCGGATCATGACCAGAGGGATGTGGACGTGCTGGACGCCGGAATCAATCAACTGTTTGGACTATTATGACTTACTGCGAATGCACGAACAACTTAGCGTCTCAGACAGTATTTTTTTTACATGTTACAATTGAACAAAGTTGAAAGTTGATTGTGAACGCGTTAAATAAAGTTTGACTGATTTATCGAACTGTTGTGTTTCATTTAATGCGCCTTATAGTCCGGTGCGGTTTATATGGGGAAAAAGTGTGAAAATGACCATTCAATGACAGTGCGCCTTATAATCCAGAGTGAACTATAGTGCGGGAAATACGGTAAAACTTTGCGGGGAGGTAGTCTGGTGACTGTGTGTAAATCTGAAGAGCAGAAGAACAAAGCATTAAGGACTGAAAGTGTTTGTGGCAAAACTGTGGTGGAGCAGAGACTAACAGGCACAAATAGACATAGATAAACCTCGAGGTGTGATTATTGAAGCTCCAGTGGGTGAAAATCTGGACAGGATTAAACTGAATATAAACGGTGGGACAGTGGAGAGACTAAAGAGGTCGTTATGATCAGCTGATGGACAGAGGTGGAGAGTTTATCAGTGCTGTTGGAGTTTAAAGAGAGAGTCCTTCCAGAACATGTTTAAATAAACTGTAGGAGTTTCCCCGTGAGGTCGTATGTGCCCCCTCCACTCCCATGTTATAAAAGCCAAAGGTGTGAGCATTAAGGAGCATCTAACGTTTTGAAACATTTTTGAAAATCAATCTGTACCTAGAATACATTTTTTACACTTGCCAAAGTAAAATTCCATGAGAATTTTCATGACATTCTATTGATGTTAATGGGTCCACCAAGTCTGTGAAGTTTAGTGTCTGCAGAAGATTTAAATCTGAACAGAAACATCTGTTTTTCTTTAATAACATCAAAAAAATAATTAATTTAGCCCAACAGTATCAATGGAAGTTTAATATGAATATGAACATTGTGGATCAATACGTGTGTCATTCGTTCATTTGTTTTTTAATATAAAACCAAAAATAAGAAAATTAAAAAACAACAGTTTTCTTCATTATTTGTCTCCAAAACCAAAATGAAAAAACAGATAATGATTTGTTTTTTTCAGTTTTCGATTTTGTTTTTAAATGAAAAATGGAAAAAAAAAAAAAAAATCGATACCGGCCGTTTATGTGACGTCCGTGACTTTTGCGCTGTGTACGGACTGAACCAGGACTGATCCAGGTCCGGGACCAGACTGGGACTAGACTGGGACCAGAGCGAGACCAGAGCGAGACCAGAGCGGGACCAGAGCGGGACCAGAGCGAGACCAGAGCGAGACCAGACTGGGACCAGAGCGAGACCAGAGCGAGACCAGACTGGGACCAGAGCGAGACCAGAGCGGGACCAGAGCGAGACCAGAGCGGGACCAGAGCGAGACCAGACTGGGACCAGAGCGAGACCAGAGCGAGACCAGACTGGGACCAGAGCGGGACCAGACTGGGACCAGAGCGAGACCAGAGCGAGACCAGACTGGGACCAGAGAGCGAGACCAGAGCGAGACCAGACTGGGACCAGACTGGGACTAGAGCGAGACCAGACTGGGACTAGAGCGGGACCAGAGCTTTGACTCCGAGCCTCCGCGGGGTCCGAGCCTCAGCTTCGAGCTCCGGCCCTGCCGTGGGCTCTGAGCCTCTGGTCTGGTTCCAGTCTGGTCCTGGACCTGGATCAGTCCTGGTTCAGTCCGTACGCAGTACAACAGTCCGACATCACAGTCACAAACGTCACGTAAACGGACGTTATCTGTTTTTTCCATTTTTCATTTAAACACAAAGTTGAAAACTGAAAAATCTAATCATTATCTGTTTTTTCATTTTGGTTTTGGAGACAAATAATGAAGAAAACTGTTGTTTTTTTGTTTTCTTGGTTGTTTTTTTCTTTTTTTGGTTTTATATTGAAAAATAAATGAATGAATGACACACGGATTTGGATCATTTGGTACCAGTTTTATGTCTCTGTCATTATTATTTTCTGAGAAATGACAAAAGTGTCATTGGGACTTCAAGGACCTTGAATAAGCTATAATAATAATATTAATATTTTTTATTATTGATTAAAAAAAAATATATATATATATATATATATATATATATATATATATATATATATATATATATATTATTATTTTTTTTTTTTTTTTTTTAAGTTATTTGAGAAAAACAGATTTTTCTGCCAGAGCCTGATGAGAATAAAATTCATCAACTCTGGACGTGGTGGGGCTAAACATTTGCCAATAGATAACGACACTGCCTCGTTATCTGTGAGCTGACAGGCTGTCAATCAATCTCCCTACGTTTTCTAGTGTAACTGACTTGCCTGCGCCGCCGGTACGTGGTTTACGTACGACTGTCACGCAGTCCACAGACGCAAGACGCACAGACGCTGTTTACACTCCACCAACACAACAGTTCTTAGTGGCTTTTTTTTGACCTATATCTTTCCTCGCAGTTAGCACAAAGGTTGTTGCAATGGCGACAAGAATCCAGGAGCAGTTCGCCCCAAAAGAAAGTCAGTTTTTGAGGTCGCTGAAAGAAGAAGACAAGGGGAAAAGCAGCGAAGCCAAACTAAGGTGATTCTTGAAGATTCATTCCAGCGATGGTGCGACTGAAGCAGACGAAGGGTCTAAAAGACTGAACCACTGGTCCACAAATTACTCCTGGACAGGAAACTTCTGCTTATTATGAAAACGTACTTTATTTCCAAGAGTTAGACTAATGTTTTTCAGGACACGAAAGCGATATTCCTATGTCTGAAATCGTCATTTTCAAGGCAAAGAAAGAGTCTGCTTGCTGCTGCGTGTTGTAGTTAGTTCATTCGCACTGAATCTCGGCGCAACCTTCTCTGCTCCCTTTTCCTGCTCCTGTCCCCGCTGCCCGATCCACTCTTCCCCTGCTCCTCACTTCTCCGCGCACGGAATCTCCGCGCACCTGCTCCCCCTCTCTCTCTCTCCTCTCTCCTCTCTCCTCTCCTCTCTCCTCTCTCCTCTCTCCTCTCTCTCCTCTCCTCTCTCCTCTCCTCTCTCCTCTTCTCTCTCCTCTTCCTCTCTCCTCTCTCCTCTCCTCTCTCCTCTCCCCTCTCCTCTCCTCTCCTCTCCCTCCTCTCTCTCCCTCTCTCCTCTCTCCCTGCTCCGCTCTTCTCCCTGCTCCTCACTTCTCGTCCGCGAACGAAATGTCCGGCTGTAAACAAACCTGTTTCTGGCGTAAAGAGGAGGAGGGAGGAGGTGTTTCTACGTAGGGAGCTGTAGGGGAGGGGGGAGGTGGTTTCACGCATGCGCAACATTTGAAAAAGGACAAACAGTCGCTGGATTTCTCGTTCCTTGGAAAATCCTCTATACAACCTTTAAGACAACTGAAGGATTTTGAGCTGAGAAAAAGTTTATGATCTAAAAATAGGTAAAAATCGCCACAAAATCCGACATTTTTGAAAGTTGTAGGTCCCTGTCAGACGAACACGAGCAGTTTGTGATTACACTGAATCTATGAGAAAAATCTTCTCTCGGCCCATGGGACTTTTTTCCGCTGTAGAAACAGTGAGTGTCTCTACGTCGACTCGAAGCAGCTACAAGCAACAACACTGTGTCCAGTTATTTTAATAGATCCATGATTTACCCCCGTTCGAGCCCCTGGAGATCTCCCTCGTGACTTGTATTCGGTGGAACCTGCCAAATGTCCTGGCTCGGTTCAAACGATGGAGGCAGCGTGACAGTCTACCTTGACCTTTAGAGTTGGCAGGGGCAGCGTACGAGCCTCCCCCTGCTACAGCGTCGCTGGGGGCAGCGTGTGATCCTACCCCTTGTGGTGGTGTTACACTCCTCACCAGGGTTGTGTGAGGGTCCCTCCAGTGGGTGGGGGGCCACACGGCAGTGGGATGTGTGGATCCAGGTGTCCTCCCCGCGCGACCTTCACAGCAGTGTCAGTGATCAATAGAACATCATATGGACGAGCCCAGTGTTGTAAACGCCAATGCCTCTGTGTCATCTCCTTTACCAGGACCAAATCCCCGACCTCAGTGTCGTGGAGGACAGCCTTGGCAGTCGGGCTGTCGGAGTAACCGCAATATTGCAATACCTCAGTATGATCAATCACAGTGCACGAGGGTTCAGGACACCGCGGTAACTGCATTTGGCATTTTAATGAGGCTCCATGCACACGCCCGGCAGAATTTAACTATTCTACTATGAACCAATTCATGTTTATGTGGCCTTGAACAAATGGGTTCAAATATTGGGACCCAAACTCGCACAAATTAAAACTAAAGTGTGGCACACGACTGCAGCTGCCCGTATATCTGCAGGAGCACGCCTCCAGAATTTTGTTCGCGTAACGAATCACCCTTCGTTTTGCTGTTTACACTCAAGTGCACTGTTTATGACCTGTTTGAAATGGCCTATGCACTCAAACGAAACCGTGCACATAGAAGCTTTTAGTTGAGTTTAGGACTAAAGCACCTGAACCTGACGCAGCACCTGAACCTGACGCAGCACCTGAACCTGACGGGAGTGAAAAAATATTGAAATATCGATATGTTGTTTCATTTAATATAATGACACAGTATCAATATTGGATTTTTTGGTTTATTTTACAAAATTATTTTGTTCCAGCTCCAGTTTTGTTGTTTGTTCAGAGGAAGGAAACTCTTTTATGCGACACATTTGACATTTTCACTGTTTTGATTTTAGTAAAATGTTTGTTTCATATGAACTTTGCACAAGACGTGATTTAACAAAGACTTTTAATGTCACACACGACTTTATTTTTATTGAACCGTATTGAATTGATTTGAAATATATCATATCGAATTGAAAGCTCACTGCATTGAGATATGTATCATGTCATGGCTTATGTATCGAGGTTTGTGTTGTATCTGAAACTTGTTAATGATACCAGCTCTAACCTGAACCTGACGCAGCGGAGTGTTTGTGCTCTGGATGTCTCCGTCCAGGTGAGGAGTTTTGTCTTTACACCGTGTTGGTGTGTGTGATTCTGTGTCGTTCACACTGGAGCATCGTTTGTGTGGTTTCAATACGCAGCTATAAAACGATTCATAAAGTGTCTGCTTCATGTGCACAGGACTTCATGTGCTTTTTTCTCATCTCGCTGTTTTCATTTGACGATAATTGCATAAGGACAAAAGCTGTTCTCTTTGTGCAGGTAACACATGCAAATATACAAATACAAAAGTTAATCAACCCACACATCACTCCCAGTGTCAGAAAGAATAGGTTTGGTGAACAGTTTGGTCAATAATCACTGTCTCACTCCTCCATGTCAAACCGGGGACATCAAGGTTTTACCCTGTGCAGGCGCCTCTGTGGGGTTTTACTGTGGCTGTACCGGCTTTACAAGTTACTCACTTAAGGATCCTAATAATATATTCTTGTAAGTCGTCTGTAAAACTACATTACACTACACGTGCACATGTATGTGTCTGTCACGTCGACCTGTAAAATATCCATATAAAACTATTGTGGATTTATACAGATAATTTGCCCCAAACTAAATCGAGCCTCTTCTTTTCTCCAGAGACTGAAGCAGAGTGTTTCCTCTCTCCACTGTCCTGTTGCTTCTGTCAACAAAACTGTTTTATTGTCCAATATGAAGAGATCAAACTGCTCCAGTCAGGTCCAGTCAGGTCCAGTCAGGTCCGTGACACGAGGCCTGGTATCCGAGTGTCATTCTTAATAAAATCTTATTATGAAACTTTTTAAAGAAAAGTTTAGGGTGGGTCTAGACTCGTCAGGTCCATCCATAACGTCGTGTTTGAATTAAACTGAGCCAGATACGAGTGGAGTTTATCTCTGGACAGGTATTCAGAGCCAAGATAAGATCGAGTGTTTTCAGATTAAGACGACATTTGAAGTTTTTAATTAAACTGCGCCAGGTGCAGGTGAAATGTGTTCTTCCTGGTTCACAGCCTTGTCCAGGATTTTACATATTTTTAGTTAAATTGACAGTTTTTTATGTACCCACTTTGTTATTAATTATATGTAGAATAGACAAGTTCAAATTTAAAAAATCTAATTTATATTTTTAATTATGTAAAACTTGAATGTTGTGATATATTTACTTTTTTTTTCTTACATTTTTACAGTGGTCCACACGCTGAGATATTTTCACACTTTTTCGTCTCAAGTCCCAAACTTCCCGGAGTTTGTTTCTGTTGGATATGTGGACGATCTTCAGATCACTCACTACGACAGTGACACTGGGAATATGTCCCCAAACAGGAGTGGATGAAGTAAAATCACAGAGGAGGATCCTCAGTACTGGGAGATGAACACACAAATCAGTTTGGGGAATCAGCAGACACTGAAACTCACCATGAAGACTGTAAAGCAGCGTCTATATGTGACTGAAGGTTAGTGTCATGTACAGTACACACACGACACATCGGTTTGTCAAAGTCTGATCCCGTCACATCTCAGAGGCTCAGAGGCCGGGCTGGTCTGGACTTGGATGGAGACACTGGGAAAACCACAGTGGAGCACCAGTGACAAAAACTGTTATTGTGTCCTTAGGCAAGACACTTCACCCACATTGCTTAGTATGACAGTGGAGTGTGTGTGAGTGATGGTGGTGGTCAGAGGAACCGATGGGGCAGATTGGCAGCTGCGCTTCAGTCAGTCTGTCCCAGGGCGGCTGTGGTTATAATGGTAGATTACCACCACCAAGTGTGGAGTGAATAAATAATGATCTGTAAAACATCTTTGAGTATCTTGAAAGGTGCTATATAAATGCAATGATTAATGAATGAATGAATTATTATTTTTGTTTGTCTTTGTTTTGTTTGTTTTTTTGGTTTTTTTGCATAATTTGGATCACAATATTCAGATGATTCTTTATCAGTGCAGCAGGATTGTGTTTTTTAAAAGGAATGATTAAAACATTCCTGTAAATGTTCTGATCGAGGTTCAAGTTTGTAAATGGAGAATAAAATGAGCCACAAAAGAGCAGAAATCTGACTGTAAACACTTGTTTGGGAGATTTACCCTGGACCATTCTGCTCATTTTATTCTTAGGCAATTTTCTTTTCACTCTTTTGTAATTTTTTATAATTTTATTTATAAATGTTACAGATCTTCTGAACAACAACTGCGATATAAATACACAACATTCTTGAACTGAACATGTGACATTTCTACAAAACATGTCTCAGTCAAGCTTAAAACAGTTTTGGTCACTGAGGGCCACATATTTAACAAAACTTTGACAGCACCACTGTTTAATCAGACTTGGAACAATTATTTCAGTTCTGTGTCATAATGTGATGTGACTGAGTTAGAGGTTGTACTGGTAAAATTATTTACATTTGTCACTTTAGGGCCACATTAGGCCCCTGGGCCATAGTTTGGACACGTCTGATATTGATACATGAGTATTGTGACTCTCTCAGTCTCTAGTGTTTCTAAATATAACCATATTTCACTCATAAATAAAACTTTGTATTTATTCAACATTCAAATGAAACAGAGTTGTGATCAGCTTTAACTCTGATCTGTGTGTTTCAGGTGTCCATCTTTGGCAGAACATGTACGGCTGTGACTGGGACGATGAGACAGATGAGATCAGAGGATATGATCAATACGCTTTTGATGGAGAAGATTTTATAGCGTTTGACTTTGAGACTGAGACATTTGTGGCTCCAAAACAACAGGCCTTTATCACCAAACAGAAATGGGAGAAGATGGGATACGGTGTCCACCAGAAAAACTACATCACTCATGAATGTGTTAAGTATCTGAAGAAACATGTGCACAATGGAGAGCACGTTCTGAAGAGAACAGGTAACAACTGACACAAATCATTTAGATAATTTTGATATGTTTTCTTATAACTTCACTATGGAAATAAATCTCAGGTGAAATGAGTTAAAACACTTCTCTCCCAGCACTGGCTTCAGTGGGACTGGTGGGAAAAGAATGATTCCTGCTCAAACCAGTTAGTACTTTTGTGTTTTGGGGACATTTCATCCAGCTTGTCTGGTACAAATGATGTATGTGAGTAGGGAGTAGCAGGGAGGAAGTAGTAGTATGCAAAAGTATCGATATATATTGTGAAGCGTGATACTGAATCTGGTGATACAGTATTGATATATTGAATCTACATGTATATGCCACAAAGAGAGTTTTTAGTGTTTTTCAGCATTTTATTTGTTGCTTATTTAGTGGATGGAAACTTGTTTATGTGATACACTTGATATGTTCACTTTTTTTTAAAGTGGTGGGTTAAAAGACGGGTGGGTCAGTCCACCTCAGTTCACCCAATGAGTTAAATCCTACTTTGTCAAATTTTGATGAAACTTTGTATATAGGTAAATCATACACACAAAAGCAAAAATTTTAAATTTTAGTTTGATTGGACCAACGGTTTCTGAGATATCTCAATTTAATTTTTCATTTTTTGCGTTGTCTCAGAATTTCAAAATGTATTTACTCAGCAACTACTGGTCTGATATCAAAAACCAAGATATCTCTGGAAAAGGGGAATCATAAGGAATCCAGATCTGGTATTTATTTTTGCATTTGAGTATTTTTGAGATGAATGACCTTTTGACCTATATTTTGACCTTGAAATTGACAATAAGGGACACGCCTGACCTTAATGACACCAACTGAAAAATGTAGCCCTACACATCTACTACAACATATAAAACATCTGGAACGGTTTTCTTTTTTCACAAATTTAATTAGAACTTGACTTAAAACATGACAAATATCCATTCAGTGTGTATAGCTGTACATTTATACAGAGTCTAAGTCTATGTAATCTTAGAAAAAATGTCAATCACACAGAAAAAATTCACAAACTCTTAGTTTCATGAAATCAGGATATTTAGTTCTTATCTGCAGGCCCGTTCAGATACTGGTTAGAACTTCTGGACAGGCCATTATGCAAAATGCTGTAGTTTCTGGTCAAAGATGATTTCAAGAAAGGAGTGTTTATCACACAGTGTATCTAAACCAGGACTCCAACTAGAATCATCTTTGGGTGGCCAGTAGGTCGTCTTGGCTGGTCCACGATGGTGCATGAACTTTATCTTATAGTCGATGAATTCTTCTGAGACCTTCTCCACCAGACCAGTCCATGGGAGGTTATCATAGCTGCAGCATATGAAGTTCTGAGGTCTAACAACAAGAGGGATATCAGCAGGGCCTTCGTGTTCATCTTCATCACGTGTCCTTGATGAAATGAAGCCAAATCAGGAGATTTGTTGACATGTGTCTGTGTCAGGGAGACAGGGACAAAATGATGTTACTGTAAATGTTAGGAATTACTGGTCGGACCCAAATACGCAGAAACAAAGGTATTTATTAACAAAAACAGTCTAGGAAGGGGGATAGGTTCCAGGGGAGGCAGGGCGGGTCCAGGTTGGCTGCAATGCGAGGTATGTGGTGAAGGAGGCTGACTGGAGGCTTGCGGAACAGGTGGCAACGGGATGAGGCCGGCTCCAAATGAAAGAACTGGGGATCGGACAAAAGAAACTGGTAAGAATCAAAAAAAAAAATTCAGAATGCTCAAAAAACACACAGAAAGCCTGAGTTGTTCACCATTGGAATGACAGAACGATCTAGCACTGGAGAGAAGGTCAGCAGGTCTTTTATGGCAGGTGATGATTAGTTGATGTGTGTCAGAAGTGGAGCTCAGCAGGTGTGTGACTGGGATCCGCCCAGGAAACACTAAATAAGGTAAGGAGAGAAGGAGCAGGGAAAGGAGGGGTAGGAGGGGCAGGATGAAACCCTCACAGTAAAGTGCTTTTGATTGTCTGCTGGATACACTGAATGGATATATGACACGTCTTAAGATGGGGTAAGTCAACTTCTCAGTAGATTTGTGTGAAAATAATAAAGAAAACCCCTCCAGATGTTTTATATGTTGTAATAGATGTACAGAGCTACATTTTTCTGTTGGTGTCATTCAGGTAAAAGGTAATTTATCTCAAAAGTACTCAAATGCAAAAATAAATACCAGATCTGGATCCCTTACGATTCCCCCTTTCCAGAGATATCTTGGTTTTTGAGATCACACCAGTAGTTGCTGAGTAAATACATTTTGAAATTCGGTGACCACGCAAAAAGTGAAAAAATGAAATTCAGATATCTTGGAAACCGTTGGTCCGATCATGCTGAAATTTAAGATTTTGACTTTTTTGGCTGTTATTTACCCATACACCATATACATACACATTTTCTTTGCAACTGGACAATGTGAGTGTTCAAATTGCAATTTTTTGTGGTGAATTGAGGTGGAATTATTCAGGTACATTTTACACACTTAAAAATGTCCCTTATACAGAAATAATCTGTTATGGAATTCCTGTGAATGTGTAATAGAAATGTCCACAATCCTTATAATTTAGAAATAATTATCATGTGTCATCAAATGGACTTTTATGAGTTTGGACAGTTTGCTCATCTTGACCTCGTACATTTGTCTTGTGAGTGATTCTTGTTTGAGTGACACTGTCCTGCATTTGAGGAGCTCAGAAGATTTTCCTTTTGTGTTTTCACCTGCTCCTTGTCTTCTTTCTTAAAATGACTAATAATACCTGTTGATGGTGTGTGTAGTTGTGTAAGTGTTGTGGTGTGTGTAGAGCTCCCCCTGGTGTCCCTGCTGCAGAAGTCCTCCTCAGGTCCAGTCACGTGCCACGCCACACGCTTCTACCCCGACAGAGCCATGCTGTTCTGGACCAAAGACGGAGTGGAGGTGACGGAGGACGTGGACCCTGGAGAGATCCTGCCCAACGGAGACGGGACCTTCCAGACCAGTGTGTCCCTGGACCTGTCCTCTGTCCCCCCTGAGGACTGGGACAGGTTCAACTGTGTGTTCCAACTGTCCGGGGTCCAAGACGACTATGTGACCAGACTGGACCGGACCAAGATCATCACCAACAACAGGAACAACGGTGAGTCTCCAGTTTGGACTCTTTGGGGCTGTGGTCGACTAAAGGAACTAAAACTAAAGTAAAAACTAAAGCCCAAACTGTCTGCCCCACATCAGTAAGACACTAGTTCAGCCACAATCTGTTGAGTCTGAGTCACTGTCGAGTTCTCATTGTTTAAGTCTGAGTCATTTAAGATAACATTTGAGTTTTGTTTTTATCATCTTAAACCAAGTTCATTTAAAAAGAAAAGACACTTTTATATTTTCCTCTCCAGTCTGACTCAGTGAGCTCCTGTGAATTCCCAGAGCTTCAAACTTTGAGCTTGTTTTTTTTAAAAGCAGAGACACACAGAGTCGTGTTTCCTAAAAGCACAAATACAACAAACAGAGATGAACATAGATGAAGATTGACAAACAGCAGTGTCTCTGAAGTTTAACACGTCAGATTTCACTGAATGCAGCAGCGGTGACTTTAAACAACTCAAGAAATGACAAATAAATACAGCAAATATGTCAAGACCAAATATAACACTGCACTTACAGGCACATCTCAAAACATTTGAATATGACAAAAATATTTTCATGATATTCAAATTTTTTTGTACCTGTACATTCACACACTCATACCTGAGTGCACTGTTGGTATGACTCACCTGTTGTTGTGCTGCCCCCTGTCTGTTACAGAGGAGCCGCCCACAGATCTCATCTCTGTGTTGGTTCCTCTCAGTCGTGCTGGGGTCCTCACTGTGGTCGTCGCTGTCGTCTTCATCTATTTCAGGAGATCTAGAGGTAACACAACATCGAGTCATGAGCTTCTCATTTTGGACAAACTTTAAACTAACAGTTTTTTTGTTTGTGTTTCAGTCAAACGGCCCCCGACTCGTAAGTAACACTTTGATTTCCTGATTCTGCTGCTGTTATAGAACTGTGATCACTAGAAGTTAGAAATGTGCAAATCAATTTTAAGTATCGATACTTTCGATATCAGCTGTTCTAATTCATGTATCGATAAAGCTCTAAAAGAATCAATACTTGTAGAAAATCCCAAATGGACCTTTGTGTTTTTGTGTTCATGATCAAATTGTCTTTAATTGATTTCCAACATAGATTTGACTTTTGAAGTTGTGTCCACAGAGAAAAGTAGAAGCAGAAGCAGAGCTCACTGTGTTTTTGTTCACACTCTGCTGGAATTAATACTTTTTATATTCATAATTTTCTTTCACTTTGTGCAGTTTCAATGTCACTTATTGCCTGGATTTGATATTTAAGTCTTTTTGAACAGAGAAATCCGGCTGATAGTCAAACCTCAGATTCAGGAGGAGCAGTGTGGTTTTGGTCCTGGCCGTGGAACACTGGACCAGCTCTACACTCTCCATCGGTGCTCGAGGTTCATGGGAGTTTGCCCAACCAGTCCACATGTGTTTTGTGGATCTGGAGAAGGCATTCGACCGTGTCCCTCGTGGTGTCCTGTGGGGGGTGCTCTGGGAGTATGGGGTCCGGGGCCCTTTGCTAAGGGCTGTCCGGTCCCTGTATGACCGGAGCAGGAGCTGTGTTCATTGCCGGCAGTAAGTCAGACCTGTTCCCGGTGCATGTTGGACTCCGCCAGGGCTGCCCTTTGTCACCGGTTCTGTTCATTGTATTTATGGACAGAATTTCTAGGCGCAGTCAGGGGCCGGAGGGGGTCCGGTTTGGGGACCACAGGATCTTCATCTCTGCTGTTTGCGGATGATGTTGTTCTGTTGGCTTCATTGAACCAGGACCTGCAGTGTGCACTGGGGCGGTTTGCAGCCGAGTGTGAAGCGGCTGGGATGAAGATCAGCTCTTCTAAGTCTGAGGCCATGGTTCTCGACCGGAAAAAGGTGTCTTGCCCTCTCCGGGTGGTGGGGAGTCTTTGCCTCAAGTGGAGGAGTTCAAGTATCTCGGGGTCTTGTTCACGAGTGAGGGAAGGATGGAACGTGAGATTGACAGGTGGATCGGTGCAGCTTCGGCAGTGATGCGGTCGCTGTATCGGACCGTTGTGGTGAAGAGGAGCTGAGTCGAAAGGCGAAGCTCTCGATTTACCGGTCAGTCTTCGTTCCTACTCTCACCTCTGGTCATGAGCTCTGGGTAGTGACCGAAAGGACGAGATCGCGGATACAAGCGCTCGAAATGAGTTTCCTCCGCAGGGTGGCTGGACGCTCCCTTAGAGATAGGGTGAGGAGCTCAGTCACACGGGAGGAGCTCAGAGTAGAGCCGCTGCTCCTCCACGTCGAGAGGAGCCAGCTGAGGCTCGGGCATCTTTTCCAGATGTCTCCTGGGCGTCTCCCTCAGGAGGTGTTCATGTCCCACCGGGAGGAGGCCCCGGGGAAGACCCAGGACACACTGGAGGGACTATGTCTCTGGACTGGCCTGGGAACACCTCGGGGTCCCCCGGAGGAGCTGGAGGACGTGTCTGGGTGAAGGAAGTCTGGGAGTCCCTGCTTAGGCTGCTGCCCCCGTGACCCGGCCCCGGATAAGCGGACGAAAATGGATGGATGGAACAGAGAAATTACTTTTTACGTTAAAGAGTCACTAAACACTAAAACAATTTTTTAACTGACATGTGTACATGTGTCTAAAATAGAAGTGTATCTCTATCCCTGACCTTATTTTGGCATTTTAGTGCATATTTGATAAAAATCATACTTTTAGGTGAAAGTCGTGTCTGTAACGAGCTCTTTAGGATCAACTACGGCCAGGATATTTGAATTTCCGGGTTGGACAAACGACCGCCAATGAGTCTGCAGGTTATTACGTGTGGAGCTCCTCTTCGCTCGCTGTCGCTGTTACTCTCCATTGGCATTGGCAGTATGCTGTTGCTAACTCTCACTGACAGGCACTAAAGTCACTGTCACTCATAGGTCAAGCCCCGCCCCACACCTGCTGAGTACCGCCCACTTTGTTGGAGTTTTTCAAATTTTGACTGTGGGCGGAGTTATATGGAGTTACTTTTGTCTCATTAATATTCACAAATACACAGATGATCTACAAATAATCATTGGTTTGTTCTTGTGTTTTAATATCCAAAAAAATGCAAATTTAATATTTGTAACTTGTATTTTGGTATTTACAAATAAATGTGTATTTGTAAATATATCTTATTTACAATAATATAAATCAATAATTTCATTTGTAAAACTGAAAATTCTGTTTGTAAAATGTGATTCTCATTTGTGGATAAGATAAGATATGCCTTTATTAGTTCCACAGTGGGGAAATTCCAGTGTTGCAACATGCAATTTCAGAACAGCAGGAAAAGGTAACACAGATAATAGATAATTTAAAAATAGACTTAAAATAATTGCACATGGATATAATTGACTGGCACATGTTCAGTGTGAACAGTGTTTGTTGTAAAGTCTGACAGCAGCAGGAAGGAAAGACCTGCGAAACCTCTCCTTCACACAGCGAGGGTGAATCAATCTGTCACTGAAGCTGCTCTCCAGAGCAGACAGAGCCTCCTGCAGGGGGTGAGACTCATGGCCCAGCATAGAGGTGACCTTAGTCAGGACCCTCCTGTCCCCCACCTCCTGCACTGAGTCCAGACGACAGCCCAGGACAGAGCTGGACTTCTTGATGACCTTGTCCAGCTTCTTCTTCTCCCTCTCTGTGATGCTGCTGCTCCAGCAGACCACACCGTACAGGATGGCTGATGCCACCACACAGTCATAAAAGGTCTTCAGGAGTGGCCCCCCCACTCCAAAAGACCTGAGTCTCCTCAGGAGATAGAGCCTGCTCTGGCCCTTCCTGTACAGTGCATCTGTGTTGTGAATCCAGTCCAGTTTATTGTTCAGATGAACACCCAGGTACTTATATGAGTCCACTCTCTCAATGTCCCTTCCCTGGATGTTCACTGAGAGGGATAGTAGAGTGGTGTCTGCGGAAGTCCACCACCATCTCCTTGGTCTTCCCTGCATTGATGATGAGGTGGTTCTGCTGACACCAGTCCACAAAGTCCTGTATTAGTCCTCTGTACTCCACATCATTATCATCCTTGATGAAGCCAATGATGGCAGAGTCATCAGAGAACTTCTGCAGGATGCAGCTGTCCGTGTTGTGTCTGAAGTCTGCAGTGTAGAGGGTGAAAGAAAGGGCGCGAGGACAGTGCCCTGGGGCGCCCCCACACTGCCAGTCAGGAGGTCAGACACGCAGTTCTTGGATCTCACAAACTGGGGCCGGTTTGTGAGGTAGTCCAGAATCCAGTCTGCCAGGTCACAGTCCACACCAGCAGTCTCCAGCTTGTCCCTCAGGAGCAGTGGCTGGATGGTGTTGAAAGCACTGGAGAAGTCAAAGAAAAGAATCCTGACAGTGCTGCCGGGGTTCTCCAGGTGAGACAGTGAGCGGTGCAGCAGGTAGATGACGGCGTCATCCACTCCGATTCCAGGCCGGTACGCAAACTGCAGAGGGTCTATCGCTGAGCTCACGGTGGAGTGGAGGTGGCCAAGGACCAGTCTCTCCAGTGTCTTCATCAGATGGGGATGTTAGAGCCACCGGCCTGAAGCTGCTGAGGTCTCAAGCGTGCGGCGTCTTAGGCACTGGTACCACGCAAGAGGTCTTCCAGAGTCGCGGTACCACCCTCAGCTTAAGGCTCATGTTGAAGACATGCTCCATAACACCGCACAGTTCGTCTGCACAGGACTTAAGGAGCCTGGAGCTGATGCCGTCTGGTCCTGCTGCCTTCCTGGGTCTAATTTTCTTGAGCTCCAGTTTCACCTGGGCTGCAGAAAATGACAGTGGCAGGTTGGGAGGAGGGGTGAGTCCATGTGTAGTGATGGGCTGAAGAGCAGAGGCATTGTCCAGCTGGGGAGGTGAGAGCTGGCAGATGGGTCGGGGGAGGGGTGGGTGATTGATCAAACCTCAGGAAGTGAAAATTGAGGTCATTCACCCACTGCAGGTCCCCCTCTCTGGGCAGTAGGTGCTTTGAAGCCTGAGATAGTCTTGAGACTTCTCCACACCCCCTGGATGTTCTTCTGCTGTAGCTGCTGCTCCATCCTTCTCTTTTGG